GACGACGACGACGACGACGAAGAGAGAGGAGGAGGAACGTACTCTCTCTCTCTCTCTCTCCCTCTGTTCCCAGGCTCGTTAACTCGAGGCGCAACCGTGGGTATCGAAAGGGAATTCTCTCGAGTTGTAATCAAAGGTTTCCCTTGATCTTGTGCTCGCAGGTCCACCGACGATCCTGGTGAGGCCACAATCGCAGCAGGTGAAGGCAGGCGGGATAGCGAGCTTCTACTGCACAGCGGAGGGAGCGCCACCGCCTCAGATTCACTGGCGTAAAAACGGAAAGAGAGTTTCACGTAAGTTTTCGCGATTCGCGCTTTTTCGATCCGAAACTGTATGTATATATATATATATACACGAGGAGAACGAGGAGAGAAATCGTATCGGCCGTTTTTCCACTCCTCCTCCTCTTTTTTCTTCTTCCTTCTCGTTTCACGATCTTTGCTCTTCCGATATCTCGCTTCCGCGACTACTTTACGACCGGCAGTCGAATCGCGTTCAAATGTCTTTTCTTCTCGACTAAATTTCACGCTCGCTCGACCCGGAAGCGGGCGCCGGCTGTCGCCAGCCGACGCGCTTCGTTATACCGCTATAGGCTGTGCGATCTATCCACGGTCGGCGAACACACAGCCCGAGATTGCCGAATCTTGGTCGTCCGCTTCTTTCGAGCGGAAAGCATCCGACTGTCCGACGGTTCACGGCTCTCGATACACGTATCGTTTCGCGTTTGGAGACGAAATTGGAAGCGAGAGGAGGAGGAGAAGAAGAAGAAGAGGTATCGCGCTCGACGATTCTTCTTCGATTTCGAAGGTTCGAAAATCGGTAATCGACCCAGCGCGAACGGGAGCTATATACGATATACAACATATGATTTTTGATCTCTGTAGAATCTCAGTCACGGTATCTGGTACACAACTACGAGAACGGAGCATTGCTGCGGATCGAGCCTGTGAGGCCGGTTCGAGACAACACGATGTACGAGTGCCTAGCCGAGAATGGAGTCGGCGACGCCGTGTCAGCGGAGGCGCAGCTCAGAGTCTACGAAGGTACGTGCCCTTTTTTCCTCTCTCTCTCTCTCTCTCTCTTCTTTTTTCTCACCGCCTTAAACCTTAACGATTATTCGGGCGAAACTTGGAGACGATGGAGCCCGCTTCGGTTCTGGTATTCTGGTAGCTGCGGTGGAAATTTAATATTTAACGAAAGTGGGATGGTTGGGAACAGGTGGCGCTGGTGCTGGCGCCACGCACGATCGGCCAAAGGTTTCTCTCAACAACGCGGTGGAGAGAAGTTTGGTGGACGAGCGAGGGAGAGGAGGCGGATCGCGGCGGAAAAAGATGATCGAAATCGCGAGAGAAGCGTTGTGTAACGAGCCAAATTCCGTCGAAATTAAACCGAGTCTTTCTTCGTTCGCGACTCGGTCCACCGGCGCGATCTACCCTCTCTTTCTATTTATACGGAAGAGCGAACAGCTTAATGGCGCCCGGTTCGGCGACCAGGCGGAAGGCGACGTAATAGAAGGAAAAAAAACCCGCACCTGGAAAGCTTACCCTTTTCCGGCAAGAATCTCTTAAACTTTCGCGAAACGCCTTAATTGGCTTGGCCAGCTTTTTAATTCGATTCCAACTTCGCCTCGCGGATATTTTTACTCGCAGTTTCTCGTATTCTTCTCGCGAAAAAGAGTAAAAAGAAGAGAAGGGAAAAGAACCACCCTCCTTTCCGAGAAGTCGTTCTCTCTCTCTCTTCCCCTACCATTCCTACCAACGCGATCCCGTTCTCCCTCTCTCGTCCTTTGCGTCATCCCTCGCAAAAGAAAGAAAAGAAAAAAAAAAAAAAGGAAAGAAAAAGTCCTTTTCTTTCTCGAGAAACAGACACGAATTCTTCTTCTCCTTCGTTCCTCCCCTGCTTGTTCGTAAATTACAAGATATTCCGATTCCGTAATTCGTTTCAATTAATCTCTCGGTAAAATCGGTCGATCACTTATCGATCGAGCGTAACTTTTCTCTTCCCTTCTCTGTTCTCGCTATCCGGAAGGAAGGCAATTTTCATCGCGCGAATTATCTCCTGATTTACACGGCGTTTGGACTCGTGTGGACAAAGTTGGCCAAAGATGTTTCTCCTCTCCGCTCGACTCGACGAGATATCGCGGCGGTTGGTGTTCGCTCGCCATTTTTCGTTATTCGCCATCCCTGTTTCTACTTTACCGAGCGGAAAGTCGGGAAAAGTTGGGGATTTTGGTAGACGGGAGAGTGTTCCGGGGCGGGCAAATGGAGTCTCAGCCGTGTAACGAGCTCGCTCGAATATTTAGGCATCCGACAGAATGTTGGCCATACGCGGTTCGTTATCGAACGCATCGCCGCGATAAATGCCCGCGAACTCGTATTAAAGCCGCATTCGGCTAATGCGATTACTCGAAGCAGTAATATAGCAATAATGCAACAACGTAACATCGGTAAATGCGGTTAAAATTACACGGGCGAAGCTAGCGAAGCAATCGATAATCGTTTCTGCCCGCACTTTGTCCACCTGTAATTACCTCGGCCGCCCACCTTTGTCTACTGCGATGATACCCAATTATTCCGCCGATTTTTCTCTTCTTTTCAACGCGATACGAGGTGGAAAATTATCGAGGACGGCGCGAAACTCGGCGCGGGAGAAACGATAGAATCGTTGGACGATAAGAATTCTTGCTCGAATTCTCCTCCTTTAGGAAGGAGAGATGTCGACTCGTCGTCGTCCGCGTTGGATCTTTTTATTAATTTCCTTCGATTCCTCGGAGGGAAAGAATCGAGGCGAAAGTCGTAGCCGCGGATAGATTCGAGAGATAGGGGGATCATTTGAGGTTCGCTTACGTATTATTCCAATTACGGGGGGATTAATCCACAGTTTCCAACTGTCCTGAAACGGTTATCGGAAATCTCGTTTATCTCTCCATTTGGGAAAAACGTCGTTCGACGTGTCTGGATGGGTATAACGGCTGCGAGTTGCTTTCGAGCGCTTAGGAATAAATTTTCGATCGAAAGTTAGAGTAGAAGGGGGGAGGGAAGGATACCCTCCATAAAGGGTATACGGCGCGTCCCCGTCGTGGCATTAGCCTAATTTCCAGTTCCACCGCGGCAGGTGGAAATTAAATTTGCACAAGGGCTAAGTGGCATCTTCGGTTCCCGTTGCCTCGCCAACTATCCACGGCCCGAGTTGACGATAGACAAGTTCGTCTCTCCCCGAATTCCCACGAAATGATTCTTTCGCCCGCCGTGAAATCGTCGCAACCGTCGTCCATCCCTCCCCGTCGAATCAAATTTCGTTCGATCGCCGTTACTTGCTCCTCCTTTCCGATGCATATCGAAGGATATTTAAATATTATCGGATATATATAAATATATATGGAAGCGAGGAAAAAGCTGGATGGAGGGAAGAAGAGAGGGAAAAATTGGTTGGAGCCGCGATTATATCGCGATCCTAATTAGCGTTTAACCTGTTTCCTGAGCTGGGATTCCCTCCGGCGAGCGGTAAACCACCGTCGGCGATAGGAAGAAATTCTTGCACGTCTAACGAACCAGCTCGGAGGCGCGGAACGGTCAATATTGACTCTTTTCGAAGTAAAAGAATCACCGACCAACAGGATTTCCAGCCTTCGAACGAGAGAACTCCTTTCGTTTGTCCCTGGGGGACGTTTTATTTCCCGGTCTCTTCCACCGGTTGCTTCTTCCTTCTTCCCCCCTCCCCCCTGCCCCCCCCCCACCCCCCCTTCTTCCCTCCGTTCGATTCCGTAGCTCCGAACGGTGCATCGACGCGAAATCCGAGAATCGAGACGGGAATCTTATTTCGCTCGAGAAATTCGTTAACGCAAAACTAACTGACCGTTGCGTTTCGCCGGATAACGGCTGCCCGTCTCTCTCTCTCTCTCTGTCTTCCTGAAAATGGATATCGCCGCAATTTAACGATCGATATTAATTCTTCCCCTTACTTTTCTTCCCCCTCCCCTTCGAAACCCGAGCCGAATCTCGCGCGAAATTTGCGACGAGAAAAGACGTAAGTAGGAGAGTACTCGTGTAAAAAGCGTTGGAAGGGAATCCTTGTTCACGATTCTCATCCACGTGTTGGGCGAATCGGAACGAGAACGAGAGAAGAAGAGCGAACGCGTTCGTTTCTTCTCGGACCGGAAGGAGGGATATTTCATCCGAGGCGAGGAAAAAGCGGGGTCCGGCTTTAATTAAGGGATTAATCGGCGCGTAAATTGGCTGCGAGTTTTCGGCCAAACTCTGGCTTTTTTCCCCCCTCCCTCCTCGGGGTGGAAAGGATGATCGGCGACCATACCGTAGCCAACTATTCAAGCAATCAAACTTTCTCGCGGCCACGTTACAAGTTTCGGATCCTGAAACTCCTCCTCCTCCTCCTCCTCGCTCTTCGATCCCCGTCCCGTCTTTTTCCATTCGTCCCACGACGATTTCCAGTTCGTTTTCGACCAACCTGTAGCTTCTCGAACGAATTGGCCGTGTACACGACGTGTACGATAAGGCGATCGACCGATTGGAAGGAAAAGCGACGGTGGACGAACACGGTATCCGCCTCGAGGAATTGCGCTTGGACGCAATCCCCTCCCCCGATAATAGAAGAAAACGATAAAAGGGAAGGGAGGAGGAGGAGAAGAAGAGCGCGTCGAATCGGACGAATCGAACAGGGTTTCAGGGTTATCGCGGAATAACGCGGCATTTAACAATGGATGGCAGAAGGAGGGAAAGGAGGAGGGGGGGGGGGGTTATCGCGCGGACGTATATAGGAGGCGAGAGATGAAAAGGAGGACGGAGAGGAGAATTCTTTGGGAAACTAGTGGGACGGCACGCGCGCGGCGTCTCTTATCCGAGATTCGACGATATTCGCCCCACGATTTTCTCCATTCAACCCGCTAACCAAACTCCCTTCGCATCCGAACAAACCATTTTCCGCAACGTTTTCGCGGAGTGGTTTCACGATTTCACGCTCCGTTTCGCCCGATTCGTCCATCTCTCCTTCCCGTCCAACCACGTTCCTTCCCGCACCTTCGCCGTCCTTTCGCTTCTCCTTCCACTCTCCTCCCATCCACGTTTACGAAAAACATCCCGTTTTCGGTTTCTCGATCGCCCGACTTTTTGGAATTCGTGCAAGAAATCGAGGAATCGAAATAAAGATGCCGGAGAAAGGGCAAGCTGCTACCACTCCTCTTTCGTTTCGTTTCGACGAGTGTTTGCGCATGTCGTCGCATCCGTTTCCAGTCCGAACACGCAACACCCGGATAAATGTGAAATTCCATCGACGAAACACGGGCCCTCTCTCTCTCTCTCTCTCTCGTACGGACGGGAA